AAAACCCTTGTTCCTTCCTGTTATTGCTTATACTCTCTCTACAACAAAATTAGAAATAAGGGCAAAATAGTTTCTGCTGGGTATTGAGGGGGTTGGGGGGAGAGGGAGAGGGCGGAGTGGGTGGTTAGGGAGGGGGTGGGGGCAGGGGGGAGAAATGACCCAAGCCTTGTATGCACATATGAATAATAAAGCAATTAAAAAAAATAGATTGTATCCTGGACATGTTGAATATTGATTGTGTCAGGAGCCTCTGGGTTAAATCCTACAGAGAATCTTTCATGTTATTGTTTTTAGCAGACAATTGACCAGGTTAGGCCCAAGCTGCAAGTTCAAGATACTTTTTATGCACTTTCTAATGCTGCTTCAGATTCAAAGCCTTTGCAGTGTTATTTGACTATCTGTCCTTCATGTGCTCCACTTAATGATTATACTACAACCTTGCCAGTTGGATAAATGTTAATTCAGTTCTCAACATGTTTGGTATGCTAATTGGAATCAGATCAGTGCATGTGCAGCACAGGGGTGAGCCCAGGAGTTCATAAACAACTTCAAGGACAGCTTTGCAAAACTCTTACCCCTCTCCAATCTGTCCGGCACTTTCCAATTCCCTGGGGCTTCACTTTACTTGCTCCACTCTCCAGCATACTTCCAGTGCAGAAACCAAGCAGTGGAAAGACAGAGAAAAAAGCAAGAAGAATCCACCACTTTCTTTGGGATCTCAACTCAGTAATAAAGAAGAAAGTTCCTCTTTCTCAGATTTGGCTCTGGCTCCTCTGCTGCTGCCGCTGCTGCTGCTGGTAGAGAATTGCTTTAGGGCTGGGATATGAGGAAGTAGAGAGCAGAAAAAACAGGATTTCCACATTCTAAAATTAAAGTGCTTATGCAAAAAATAAAGAGGAACGCTGGAGCTCAGTTCCTGGTGTCTATTTCCATGTTTCAGGCTCCACTGGATATAGATAATGGAATAACTAAAGAGAAAAGCTGGTGAATTTACTGCCAGTTTAGAAGCATTTAAAAATCTGATGTTTTCCTTAATTCTACCACTGTTTACTTTCAGAGTCCTCAGATACCTATGCATTCTTCCCAGGTTCTATCACGGTGCTATGCAGAAGGGATGGGAGAAGTGTGCTTACTGAATCCTCCCCAGTACCACTATCTCCCCACCCAATTTTAATAGCATCAATTTATCAAGCGGATACAGTCAACCAGGACTATGCTAAGTGTTTTAGTTATCTAATCTCTTACAAAACCCCCCAAGGTATATGTTAGTATACATTTTTACACACAAGGAAACATGCTTAGAAAATACTAAGTACCTTGCCAGAGATTATCTTAATAGTGATGAGACTTAAGAAATATGCTATAATGTCCTCAGACTACTGCTCCAAATCAACTACAGTGCTTATTCAAACTGAAGTTTTCTGTGCCCCATCTCAGACACACTAACTTGAATTTTTGAGAATGAGGCTCAAGGAGATTCTCATGCATACTAAAATTGAGAACTGATGCATATTGCCCCCAATAAAAGAAGCCTTCAGTCTAAATGACTTTAAAAAGGATGTCAATATACTTCAAATAGAAATACTCATTAGTGTTGGCATCAATCAGCTTAAAATAGCTTACATATGCTCACTTTCCCTACTCTTCTGTATCATGTTAAGGGACATAAAATAGAATTTGTTACAAATGAAGGTTCACTTTATACACAGGAAGATATTCTGACCTCCAATCCTTGAACCAAACATTCTTGCTCCCACTTCAACTCCTGTCAATGAGAGCTCCCTAATAGGGCCCCTCATCAAATGTGTTAATCAACCAGGACATCAAATTTTATTTAAGAAAAAGAGAAACTAAGTAAATTTTAGTCATTCATCCAAACAATATTGCTATATGTCTCCCCAAGAGGTAGATCTGCCCCATCTTTCCTGATGGACCTTACTTGCAAAAGAACAATTTTGACTAGCCCACTGTCACAAATTGGGGACCTCACCTTCTATAAGGCCAGTATGAATGATGAATTCCTCATTAATAGGTAAATCTGAATAAAGATACTTAAAAGAAACTCATTCACTAGATATGACTGAGAGGAGAAAGAACTTTGCATCAGAGTCAGAAAATGATTTTTCTTAGATGAGATTTTTAGTACAAGTTTATATGTAAGGATATAATTATGAAGATTGAAAAAGCCAATCAGATTGCAGCAATCACTCAAGATGCCTAGTAAATGATGCAAATAACACTACAACCCTGTATACCTAAAACTTTCCTTCTAAGGATCACAGAGATTTTACTGACATTGCCTAATGGCTCATTATAGGAATTATCTAACTCACACATGGGCAAATCAAGGTCAAGTATGCCAGTCTTCAAGGCCCTCTTATAGTCTACTTTTTGGGGAAAAACTGTACAATAACATACCATAACAATAAGTCATATTTTAGCACTAAAACTTATGGCAAATATTCTGCTTTGAAACAAAAATCTTTTTCAAAAAATGTTCATCTGGATATTTATGAAGAAGTTCAAAAGATTCAAATTGATCAGCAGTAATGAATCAAAAACAAAAAGAATTCGGTACAGTTACTTTCAACAATGAAGAATATGTCAACCAGTAATCCCCTCTCCCCCCATTTTTTGGAGAGCAAAAACTCCAAAACATATGGCCCAGGAAGAAACTCTGTACTTGTTTAGAGTAGTGAATCGGCTTTTACATCTCTGCAGTTAGAGTACGCAAATGACTTCACAGGCAACGGCTTCCGTATGTTTCAGATTTTTAACATTGACCGTTCATAATAAAGATTCTTTGATCCCAGATCAAATGTTTGAATCAATTTTCTCTACACTCACTGAGTCACCGTTATAAAAACTCCCCTCCTTCCCACCTCAGATGTGCCAGCCCTTCCCGCGGTCGGAACTATCTCCATCTGTCACCTTTTCCGTGCTGCTTCCCACCCCTTTGCTGTGGTTTTTAGCTCTGCTCGTTAACCTCTCATACAAAAGAGGTGCGGTAATAAATAATTTTTGTACATAATAAGTTAACTACAATGAATAAGATTCCTCTAAGGAATTCACGGGAATCTTTAATAAAACTTCAAGCTCATGGTAACATGCATGGTCAGTTAAAAACAAAAACAAAACAAAACAAATCTCAACAGGTGAGGCCTTTGCCTATATGCAAGAAAAAGGAAAACTTATATATATATATTTAAAAACTAGGTTACATTTCTTGAATGGAAACTGGAAAAAGTAAACTGATACCTAAACTTCTTAAATAAAACAAAAGACCTAGTCAAAGGTCTAGATAAATAGTAAAAAACAGTAATAAAAAAGTCTAGGCAATGCTAAAAATTTAGAATATTCATAATATAAATTATTTCAAATGATTTCAAGCCTTTTTATTTATTTTTATTATTATTGTGTTGAGTGGGGTACATTGTGACATTTACAAAAGTTCTTACAATATATCAAATATATCATACTTGAATTCACCCCCTCCACCATTCTCCTTCAGCCCCCTCTTTGTATTCCCCTCCCTGGAATAGTTTCTATTTTTCCATTTACATAGAATGTGTACACAGAATTTGCACCATATTCAACCTCCTTCATCATTTCCCCACCTCCTCTCCCCTCCTACCCATACTTAGCCCCCCAGGCAGGACCTGTTCCACCCTCCTGTCTCCAATTTTGTATAAGAAAAAAGAAGAAGAAAATGACATTTTTGCTTGTTTAAGATAGCTACACAGGGAGTTTCCTTGTGGCACTTCCATGTATATATGTATTATAGCCCAAATTGGTTCATCTCTATTTTTCTTCTTTCTACTTTTAGTCCCTTTCTTATGGTGGTTTCACCAGTTTAAAAATTCTATATTCATTCTTGTATAGAGAATACATCAACCATATTCACCTTCTTAAGTTCCTTCTTTTATTCTCCCCCTCTCGTATGTGACCTTCCCATAGCACGACCTGTTTTTCATAGTTTTGCTGTATTTGTATTAGGTCTGTATTCCACATATGAGAGAAAACATGCAGCTTTTGGCCTTCTTAATCTGGCCAACTTCACTTAAGATGATTTCTTCAGTTCCATCTATTTGTCTGCTGACAAAATTTCATTCTTTGTGGCTGAATAAAATTCCATTGTATATAAATACCACATTTTCTTCATCCATTCATCTGTAGCGGGTCATCTTGGCTGTTTCCATAGCTTAGCTACTAGGAATAATACTACTATAAACATGGGCATACAAGTGCTTTTATTGTAACCTGACTTACATTCCTTTGGGTACATCCCCAGGGGTGGATCATTGCTGGATCATAGGGCACATCTATATTTAGCCTTTTGAGGAGACTCCAAATTGTTTTCCATAGTGGTTGTACTAATTTACATTTCCACCAACAGTGTATAAGAGTTCTCAGTCCTTTTTTAAAATGTGTTAAAGAGAAAATTTTTCAATATAAACATTTTTCAAATCTTTGAACATGAATTTTGCAAAAAAGTATTCATTAAATAGGTTAATTTGAAAAAATTAAGTTTTGGATTTTTCTAAAGGTAAATAAAATAAATTTGGGATTTGTTTATATTTAGCCCTAATTAAACCTGATAAGGAGGGAGGCAGGAAAGAAGTGGGGGAGGGAGGGAGGAGATGTACATAGAAAGGAGAAAAATTCCAGTGTTAAAAATACTTTAAAATTCACTTTCATCCTCTCTCCCCCCCTTTTTTTTGATTAGTAAATAGGTCAAAATTGAGAAAAATTTAAGATATTATGATTCTTTATTTCAAAATATCACTAAATATTGCAATAAAAAAAACAGAGTGCTAATTTAGCCCCAGTCCTTACCATTTTTAAGTATAAAAATGGTGTACTTTCAAGTGCTAAAACAGGGAGTCTTGAGTTGGATACTGACCTAGCATCATTAGTGCTAGGCAAAAGTGAGCAATTCCCTGGGTTTGTACAAAATGAATTATTGCATATACCATCCCCCCAGTGATCATGGAATTTACCTTGCACACAGTAGCAAACTGTTGGTTATTTCCTGCTCCAACTACAAGATAGCCATCCTTGGTTTTAAAAGCCTAAAAAAAAAATACATATGTAAATATATGTTTATGTGTTAATAGGACCACAAAACATTGGCTTTAATTTCTGAGACATATGTACAGAAAGCTCATTCTAAAGCATGTTCTTAATTCAGTATCAACTAATTTATATCTTTTTTCTTAGATTTGCATAATTTTTTTACTTTAGGATTTTCAAAGTACTCCCTAGCTCTTCCACTAACTATTACAATATTGAAAAACAGTGAATCAAAAAATTAAGAAAGTCTAGAGTTTATTACAGCTCATAACATGAAATTCTGTATTCATCATAGTATGGATTCATATAGATTTTTTTCCCAAAGTTTTGTGTTTTGTTTGTTTTTCCTTATAGGACAAAGAATCATAGGGCAAAAATCACTATTTTCTACAAAGTGTAATAATAGATGGATAAATGAAAGAAATTAGGAGGGAGTAAGGAAAGGAAAGAAGTAACAAAGAAAGGAAGTGAGTAAGCTGTTGGAGCTACATTTCTATTTGAAGATACAAGATAGAAACTTTTGGGTAATTTTCACTTTTTGGTAGTAGACAAAATGAAACATCAGACTCTTTCTGCACCTCATGTGGCTTTATGTATCTGAAAACATCTGCTGCTTTTTGGAGACAAGTTCACATGGATAGCAATTGGCACCCCCACTACCATAGCTGTAGCTCTTCTGGAGATCTTTTCCATACTCGCTTCTCCACATGTGACCACAGTGCAGTTGGAGGAACCCAATTTTACCTTCATTCCTACTTTCCCAAAGTAAATAAGCTCTTGGAATTCTAAATATTGCTCTGTATCTTCACCTACTTCTCTGTACTTGCTCTGAGAAAAATGACTCTTATCTCCCATGGCAGGGTTTGCTCCTATGCTGGTGACCTCAGTGTTACTTTTGCCCATCCTCCAGAACTTGCTGGATCATCTTTAGTCTGTTCATTTTACCAGATCCATCTGTTCTGCCTTACATGTAGGTTCAATCCTCCATTGGAAATATCATTAGCAGCAACAAAACAAAAATTCCATCAATCCTGACACCTTTTAAGCTACCTTGAACTTTTCTTCCTTCCATCCATCTCTGAATAGCATGAAAGTGCACCCTGCCTATACCTGCATACCACTATCAAACTATGACGTTTTTTGCCATCAGGAATCTGATCCTATCACTATACTGAAGCTATGCTTCCTTTGACTACTCTGTATTACTGGGTACTGTTAGCCATCTTCTCCTCTAGGATCCTGTTTTATCTATAGGCTGTGTTCAGATTCATCTATTTCTGGCCTATTTCCATATGCCCTTATTGCAGCATCTTCTTCTCTTCGGCCTTTAGATTCCTTCAGCATCTGTATTTCGTCTTTTCACTTCAGTTCTTTCTTATGATAGTTACTAGAGCCACATGTGACTATGAAATTTAAATAAACTAAAATTAAATTAGTCAATCACAAAAGACCACATATTTTGATTCTATTTATATGCAGTATCCAAAATAGGCAAATTCATGGAGATAGAAAACAAGATAGTGGCTGCCTAGGATTGGGAAAGTTGGGGGCAAATGGGAAGTAACTGCTAATGAGTACCGGATTTCTTGTTAGAGTAATGAAAATGTGCAAAAATTGTTTGTGGTAATAGTTGCACAATTCTGAATACATTAAATGTCATTGAATCATACCCTCTAAATGGGTGAATTATATGGTATGTGACTTATATCTCAGTAAAGCTATTATTTAAAATATTAAATTAACAATTCAGATCCACAGTCACACCAGCTAGCCACATGTGGCTGTGGCTACTGTAGTAGACAGTACAGTTATAGAATATTTCCTTCATCACAGAAAGTCCAATTGTACAATGCTGGTACACTAGGACCAGTAGACTGTAATTTTTTGTCTCCTAGCCTTCCTACAAGGCTTACCTTGAGACCTGAAGAATGTCAGGGAATTAATAAATGGTTGATAAACAGTAAGCAATCAAGCAAATGATTACTTCCAGATAACAGAATTGTGGCTAAAATTGAGCTCATGTAAAAAAGTATAACAAGTATTTATTCTATTCACATTGGTGTTTAATTTGGTAAGGAATGCTATTAGGAAGAATTGTGTGAACTATCTTAAACATTTTCCCTTGTTCACAAGGGCAAAAAGAAAGTGAATGTCTCTGATAATGCCCTGGTGTTTCTTAAACTACAGAAAAGGTATCTGCAACAGAACCTTGGGTGAGGTACAAAGGATTTTAGCTGAGGTGTCTCAACAAAGTATTTATAAATGTGAAGTTATACCAGTTGGTCACTTACTTTCTTGTGGGAAAGGGTGAGGTGGGAAGTGTATAAATAAATGCAAAATAACCAAGTATAAGGCAAATATTTTCAAATTTTTAGATGAGTGATATGTTCGATGAGTTAATGTTTTGGGGGCTGCTCATTTTTTTATAATAAATGAAGAAATGCCTGTTTTTATTTCCTTCAGCCTCTATCATACCACAAAACATGTCTTTACCAATATACGGATTAAAATTTTTTAAGCACAGATGGGAAAGCAAACACTTAACAATAAATGAGCCACCAGAATATGATCAGACTAAAAATCACCAAACATATTTATAAGAACTAAGGCAAGATTATGAATTCTTTTAATAATTATTTTCCCTATTATTATTTCTGCAGTATTTAATTCAGTAAATAAATTTTGAATAAGAACCTTAAAAATACATTAGCACTATGAAAAAGTGGGTAAGTACATAAGGTACATAAAATACTAGGAGGAAATAAATTACCTATGACACAATCACCTGGAAGAAGTAGCTGTGAGTAATATACTTCTTTCTGGTCTCTTTGTGTTTCACCTTTACATAATTAATATATAACTATACAGAGATTTCTGGTTTGTTTTTAAAATTTAAAATCCTCTCATAAGCATATTTGAATGTTATTTTCATGACAAAAACATCTATTTCAAAATTTGCTTACACATTATCTGCTTAAACTACAGTGTATTTTTATTTTATTTTGTTTCAAGTAAAGTCCTATATCATACTATTGATATCACAGATGAAAAGTTATTTAATTTCATAGTGGAACTCTGAAACAAGATGTCTCATCTAATTAAGAGCCTTTAAAATCCATCTTTACCCCCATAAGACAATACAACAAAAATAAAATAGAAAAGTGAATTCTACCATTTACTTAATCTGTGTGATACAGGAAAGTTACCTAATTTCAGAGCCTCATCTTTCTTTTTTTTATAAGATAGGAATGATCCATACTTACCTTCAGAATTATTATGACTAAATTCATTAAATACATTTGTTCATGTGTTTGCAAATATTTATTGACATAATTTAATATAACCCATACACTGGGTACAATGGATAGAAAATAAAAAGCTAAATAGCTATGATTCTTCACATTAGGCTTACATTCTAATAAACTGGAAAACATCAATCAAATATTCACTTAAATAGTTACATCAGTGAAAGGTTCTAGAAGGGAAAAGCACAAGCCACAATGACATCTTAGAATATGTGGACCTAATGTTATCTTGGTTGGGGGCTGAGAAGTCAGGAAAGATTCCCTAGCAAAGTGATCTCTGAGCTGAGTTCTAAGAATTCATAGGTATTAACTAGATGAAGAGCTAGGGGCAGTGAGTCATTGCTGGCAGAAGGAACTGCGTAGGCAAAGAACCTGGAGTGGGAAGAAGCAATAAGCCACAGAGAATATAGCACAACTGAGGCTTTAAAAATAGGCAGGGACCCAGATGAAGTCAAAGGTCACATGAAATATGTTATTTATCATAAAACTAATTGGAAGTCACTAAGTGGACTTGAATGAGCATGTCGATATTTGAGAAAGACCTCTCTGGTTTCAATGTAATAACTAATTAGAGATAAGATTAGAAATGAAAAGCCAGTAAAGAGGCTGCCATGATGATCATAACAAAACATGATGTCTTAGATTAGGAGCCATGTTGATAGAGATGGAAGGTAATAGATTCAATAAACATTTAAATGGTAAAATCTATTGGAGTTGGTAATAGACTAAGTATGATGGTTAAAAGCTGAAAATTCAGAGAGAAGAAGGTATCACAGATGATGCCTCAGTTTCTAAGAAACTTTGGGGATATTCCATTGGAAATTTCTTTCACATGAGTAGGAACCGGATGAAAGTCTGAACTGTAGGCAAAAACTTGGCAGTTAATTGCTTCTAATCTTCTAAGGTACCACATAGGTGAAATAATTTAGAAAGTGTGCATAAACTGCAGAGTAGGAAAAATAAAAGGGAGCCTAAAAAGGAATCTCAGAGCATACAAGAGAGGAGTAGCCAGAGCCTTAGGTGAGGACTGAAGAAAGCTTACAAAGTGGACCTTCATTATCAACCAGAGCTGTGCTGGGTGTCAGGATGACAATGGAGTGCAAAGAAGGAAATGAAAAGAGAACATGCAAACCTCTATCTGAGAAGTCTAGTTGTAAAGTGAAAATTGAGCCAAGACCTCCAACCCAGCATAAGCAGGGACACAGAGACAGATCCTCAGGTGGGGTATGTGATAGGACATCAAGCAAGTTCTCAAGGATGCTTCTACTTCCTTATGAAATAAGAGGGAGACATCACATAAGGTAGGGCTAGGGAGATAGGAGGCTGGCAGACTGAAAGAGTTCTGACAGACAATGAAGACACTAGCCAGAGCATCCCAATCAGATGCTGATGTGTTAAGAGTATAGCTGAGTGATTTTTCTCCATCATCTCTCAGTTACCCAGTCATGGAATGAACACATATATGCATTCACTAGGTTTAGAATTTTTCTAGATGACTATCAAAAATAAAAAAAGATAAAGGTATAGAAAAATTAAAAAACTAGCCAGAATGTCATTGAGCAACAAACCATGGACTATTGGTCTAAGGAAAAAGATGGTAAAGATAGGAGAAGGTATGAATGGACAGGGCAGAGGGAGTAGCACAGTTAATGAGGAGTCTGATGAAATCTGTGAAGAGCCATGATGGGAGTAGT